ATTCCGATTTTGGAGCGCGTTTCGATTCAAAAGATTTCGTTAAATAATTGCAGAAAAGACGTATTTTCGGACGTTCAAAGTCATCATCGTCGTCATCGTTATCGTCGAGGTCGATGAATGCTCGACCGTGATACCGGTATTCGCTCGCCACCCGCGGGGTTGGTAGACGGGCCAGCAGACGGGAGTAACGATTGTGTGCCACCCACCATCACCACCACCCCTTCTTGACGAGAGGGATGCTCGCGCCCCCTCGGCCGCTCGTGCCCCCGCGTTTATCCACCAACATCCACCACCTACTAACCGATCGGAAAACATCCCCCTCTCGGATGGTCATTCCCCGCAACTACTGCGAAGGTGCTTGTGACATTTCATTAAAAAAATGGACCGCGTGACCGGAATCTGTGGGCTTCCTTATCCGAGGAAGTATCGATACGAAAAACGTTTCGAGCGCGTTAATCGGTTAATATATCTTGCAACGAAACTAGATTGTGACTCTAGAAAATCTCGATAATTATTTCAACAGTTATTCAAAGGATTTGAAAAAGAATAATGTTTTATCTTCGATCCTGATTTTTACGGAAATTATGATTTTTTTTTTTTACAGCTATCGTTTGATTCTAAACATCAAGAGAAAATTTTACCCTTTGCAGAAAAAAAAGTTCAATTTTCGAGAATTTAATTTAGATCCATCGAGTAAACGAATTTGAAAATTTGGGAAACAATAGGGTCACAGTGTCTTTTTTAATTGCACACTTCATAATGGTTAGTCCTTGCGATCGATATTCAACCCGTGTGTCATCTCCCTTAAATCGGATCTCCGTGTCCTTGACTGACGCGAGAATTCGCATAATATTATTCACCGAAGAGCCAGACGAATTTGCACGTTCTCTCTCTCTCTCGAATCACGCATTCAACACGCACACAAACTTCTGTCGAAACTTATCGGCTACGGTCATTCTCCTTGAAAATATGAGTGCCTCAATAATATCGAAATATCTTACAGGGAAAATTTAAATATTCTCGCAAAAGACTAGATTAATTAGTGTGAATAAAAAATTTAATTTTTTAACGTAATTCCGAAATTCTTTGCTCTTTTTGATTTTTATGAAATTGTGAAACAATTCGAAATTAATTTTCTTTCTCAGAAAACTGATAATAGTTTATACTCTTGTGATATAATGAGAGTGTAACGCTTTTATCATCTGTGAGAGACGATGCTTTATCACATAAATACTTCCGATTACCCGTTATCGATTTTGTCTTATCCAGATATAGTCGAATTGTTGTATTTATTCGATTCGTTTGCTCATCGCTTTCAATTCACACGAAAGATACTTTCTTGTCTAAACATACTTATTGAGCAAACATTTCGACGAGTCTTCACACGCGCAAAAAACAAAGGAGCTTGTTGAGAATAACTCTGTAGGAGGTATCGCCGAAAAAGACTCTGCGCGACACAATGTCGCGGATGCATTAAAATTAAATCGCCGTGTTATCGCCGACGGTTATTTATAGAGCGCGATGTCGATACGCGCCGCAAGGGAAAGGAGTCCGGTCGCATATCGCGTCGACGAGCACAAAGACGCGAATCCAAGAATTCCGCGTGTGAAATATAAAATCCGTTTAGAAATTTACCGAAAACTTACGCCGGCCATCTTGTCGCATTTTTAGAATTCGCGGGGGATCTCTTTTCCTTCTCAATCACAATACAATTTAAGAGGCATTATTGAGTAAGACTTAGATGGGAATTACATTACTGAGAAGTGTCTTTATAAATTAAGCAAAAATGAAAATAATTTCATTCTTTCTCTCTCTCGCAATTTTGTTACACGGTGCTTTCCTCCGACTTGCGCGCGAATCTAAAAATTTGACGAGGTTTATAGACGAGACGCGCGCGCAGGCGGCCGAAACGCGGAAACATTTGCGGATGAACCTACCTACGTCGGACGAATCAATAACGGGAACCCTCGGGTGTGAAGGAGGCACCTCGACGGTGGCGGCGGCAGCGGCGGCGGCGGCGGTGGCGGTGGACCCGCGCGCGGGGATGTCCCACGCACAATACGGCGTGCCCTCTGCGCGCGCCCTTCTCTCCCCTCCCCACCCCCTACCCCCTTGCCGCCAAAGGAAATCCAGTTTCGTCGCGGGCGCAGGTAGTCGCGGGACCCCCGAGTTTTCTTGCGCGGAGATTTCTGACGTTTATTTTTCTTATTACACATGCGAGCCGGTGGTCCGCACGCCGAAATAAGGATCAGCGGACCACGTCACATGACAGGCATTTATATGACGGAAAAACGTAATGTTGAGCGAACAAAAGCAGAGTTATCATCCTACAAGGTTTAGAACATTCATATATAAAAAATAATTATATGTTCACAACACTTACATATGAAATGTTCATTAATTTTCTAGAAGCGTAAGAATCTGATTTACTAACGAGTCTCGCTTGAAGAAAAACATATAGGAGAGGTGCCGGTTTATCAATTACGTCACTGGTCGGGGAAGACGAGCGCGGGACGACTCGCAACGTGTAACATGGCCGAGGCCTTGTCTCTCTCTCTTCCCCTCATCCTGCCGCCATGTCGTTTTAACCGCGCGGACGAGCTTTCAAGGTCGGTCACATTCAGCTGGAAAATCGCTCGACGAGACACCGCCAGACGGCACCACTCTACGGCGCTTGCGGAACACGTGGTGCGACGGAAATCGCGCTATTGTAGGGGAGAGGGAAGCAATAGTCTCACTTGTTGCGATAGATATTCCCTACAGTTCTGGGGACAAGGTATGTTCGGATCATAGACATAGTATATCTAGACCGAGTGATGAGGAGTGGGAGCCGATGTGCACGTAGAAAAGGACATACTCTGTTTCGTGTCCCTTGCGTTCTCTCTCGCTCGCACGGAGGGTGACGAAAGAGAGCGCTATGCTCTGTGCGAGCGAGAAAGAACGCAAGGGGCACGAAACAGAGTATGTCCTTTTCTACGTGTATCTTTACCCCCACTCCTTAAATAAAGGCAAACGCTCGGTCTAGATATACTATGTCTATGGTTCGGATTCTACGAGATACTGCAGGTACGTATGTTCTATAGAATCGATTTTCTATCTCTTTTACCCCATTCCTATTCAATTAATCATATCTAGAAACCCTCAAGTAATCATATCGAGAATTGGGGGAGGGCGAGATTGAGGAGAGTACGTTTCGAGATTCTCAGCTAAACTTACATTATCTTATGTCGATAATATTGATATTTTAAGATATAAGACTTTGTAGATTATAAAGTTATCAGCGATTCGTGAGAACCAGCGGTCGGTAACTATATTTTCTGTGAACGATGATTTAACTTTCATTTTGCATGTGTATAATGTTGAATATTTGGAAACATTCTACAAACACAATCCACGTGGCATCAAGTCAAGTATATCATTAATAGTAAAATTCCACACATAGCATTCCCCATTCTCCATTCCCCAGTCAGTAATTCAACTACATATTAGACATGCATTGTTTACTGCTACATTATGAGAAACCTCAAAGTGATTAATATATTATATTTCGTTTCTAATAAATTAAAAATATCATAAAGATTATATGTATGGAAAAAATTACTGCAGAAACATTACATGCGACAGATAATGGGACATATGTGATAGACATGTAAAAAAGTTATATATATTTAAAAATACCATAAGATAAAAAACTACGCATATACTTGGATCAACAAAAAATATTTAAATGATTTGATCATTTTTGTGATAAACATTAATCAAGACTAGAGAGTGAAATAGTAAATAGGGTGATCTTTTTGTGAAACGATCATTGTTAATGTTTTTTATGTAGGAAACATCGAGATATTAAATACAAAATATTGGGTCATCGACATAAACTTTCTCTACTTTTCTATAACTTTACTCTAGTAAGAAACTTAGAAGCAAACATTCCAAATTGTCAAAGAGATAGCATTAAATTGGTGGCACTCAAGTGCCACGAAAGGTCACACAAGATACAAGTCAGAAAACTCTTTCGCAGGTTACTTATCAAAGATTACGAGCTTTCAAATAGTCACATCTGTGGAAAACACGACATAAATGTGATTTGTTAGAGCGATAAAGACAATTGCTTAAAAATACTGACTGATTGTGCGATATATTTTTTTGTTTCTTTAGTTTAACTTTCTTTACTTAAACATTTTTGATACACGAATATATTTATCATTAAACAATTCCATCATTTTGTTTTACTATAAATGTGAGTGTAATTTTATATTTACATTCATTAATTATCTCGCGTTGAAATACATAAATATATTGATAAAACTATACAGCACACTATCATTTTTATTCTGTTAATTTTTTTTGGAATCTTCTCTTTACAAGTTTTAGAGTGATATTCTTTGAATAAAATCGCAAAATATGGACATATATATATAATAAGAAGTTATTAGAATTAATAGATTGTATTTTTTGTTTTTTAAAATGTTTTTAAATTTGAGTATGTGTACATGGTTTATTGTTGAGTGATATTCAAAGTATTTCCCTGAATTATTATAAAACTAACAGACGCATAATCTTATCACATATGTTGATCCAGAATTGTCACTTATCGCTTACAAAATCCTTCTTTCACGACAACGACACCCGAAATCATGTCCACATTTGCGTCCCAAACAACATTGCACGATTCCTCGACAGTGCTTTAAGTATGAATGCCAAGAAATAATTCTATATAGAAATTCTCAGATATAAGGATCTCATGACATCCATTCTTTTTCTCTTAACGCGGCCTGTTAAAAGTGCGTTTAGCTATTCGTAATAACACTATCGAGAAAGAAAAAAAGAACAGAGAAAGGAATCGTGAAATTTCACCTAGAACGCAAGCGGGGTCCAATGATTTCTCAGCCAGGGAGTCACCGGCGGCGATGTCGTGCTCTCCACGTCTGTGCCACGCGCATACATTCAAGGCGTGGTGCTTTCACTTTTTTCTAATAGCGCAAATCTCCGGCGCTTACCTTTCTTGATGAGCAAGCTAGTGACCCTCCGTAGCGCCTCGCGAGTGCTGGAGGCGGAGCTGTGCTTACTTTGGCCGAAGTATTTGTTGGGCGTGATGTTCGTCGGCAGGGTCAGCGGTTTCCTCTGGTCCCCGGTGCCGGGCAGCCGCGCGTCGTAGGCGTTATTGAGTCGCTCGAGATGTTCAATCGACGCCGGCCGCGGTTGATTCGCCTTTCTCGTGGGATACCATCCGCGATTCGGGCCCCCCGCCAACCGGAGTAGCTCGGTGCCGATTATGGCTTGCTCCAGGCCAGGATTGTTCCGCCGATAGCTAAAAATGACGTAATATGGATAACTTTTCAAAAAATATCTCTCTTAACCGCTCTGCAATTCGAATCGTCCTTTTCCCTCTCATCGCATGAGGAAGAGAACGAAATAACACATGGATACTCACCCGGTAGCCGTGGTGGGTGCGTACCAGCCGGGTTGTCGTCTCGACTGCGTCGGATTGCCGGCGTGCTGAGGTGTTCTAGGGATGTCGCTGCCTCTAGCGAACACCGGGGTCTCTGGCAGAGAGCACGACGTCTGCATCCCGGAACCGGTGCTGGTGACGACGCTGCCACCACCTCCACCTCCACTTCCGCCGCCGCCACCGCCGCCGCCGCCGCCGCCGCCGCTGCTACCTCCAGAGGAGCAGGCCTCCGCTGATGGCGAATGTCTCTTCGTGAACGGTCGCCGGCGGGAGGGTCCCGGTAAATCAGTAGGCAAAGTCCTTCGCTCCACGGGTACCTGGGACAAAAAGACGACTTGTTAATGAGGAAATGTATTAAACAAGAAGAGCTCCCAAGATTAATCTCAGAATTAAAATATGACGAAGAGAAAGATATTATCGAGCAAAATTATATTAAGGTCACAATTGCAATATTATCGCATGTCAAGAATAATTATTCCGTATCTAGAAGAGAAAGAACGATTTATCTTTTAATAAAACGATGTAATAACAATGCTAAATTAAATTAAAATTTTAATTTTCTTTACAAATGTGACATTAATAAATAGTAAGCGTTCTTCCTAAAGCAATAGAATTTTGTACGTGTTTCCGGTACAATGGAGATAATTCGGACATACAGATGATTGACGGATGCTGGTATCTGCACGTTTGAATTACGTGATGCAATGATAATCCCCGAATATTGTTCGAAAATGCTATTCGGGTCCATTTTCGCGTTTCAATATAAAACACCTTTGTCTATTACTGGTGTACTCCAGGAAAAGAGAGAAAGCGCGAAAAAAGGATTCTTCATAAGAATCCGCGCAATTCTACCACTGTGAGGCGAGGCAGATTATAATTATTGCGCCGTAAATCATTTTTATCGCACTCCATTCGAGCATCATCAGCGCGGTACTACGCTAGGAAAGCTTTGCCGCAACTTTTATTACGGCAATAATTATTAACCGAATGCGCCGCATTTCGCGAGCTTGTCGCGAGAAATTTTCCCTTCCAAAGAACGGCAATCCATTTAATGTAGAGATAATGCGTTTTTACACGTAATACGTATAAAATTAACGATATTTTGATCGACATTTGATTTGGATCGTTTTGAACGTATTAAAAATTAAACATTGATCGATGTGGATTTTAAATTTTTATCCAGGAAAAGTCGGCTCTTTGAATTAGAAAGAATCTCCACTATATCAAATTATTCGAGAAAGATATTATATATGTAAATAAGCTAAACAAGCGATTTTGATAAGCGTAGCAATTGGATAATTACGATGAAAATAAGAAGGAACTGTATTACAGTTGATCAGTCTTTTGTATCCGATTATCCCGGTGATCTCCCGCGCCAGGATTCTCCGCCTGTTGTTAGATTAAAATTACCATGGTCGACTTCATTCGGTGGAGCGAAAGCTCGTGGAAAGGAGAAAAAAGGGGACGCAAATATCCCTAATGAAAACTTTACGCAGTTCAGCCAAACTTCCTTCCGCTCTTTTCCCCGCTTACCCTCCTTACAGTTTCTCATCTACATCTTCTTCCCCCGGATTGCCCGGCTCTCTCTTCAGCCCCTTCGTAATCCCGACAAACTTCCCTCTCTTTGTCCGTTCGGTAATATGGTAGCGTTATTCTCTCGCTCGTCAGGACAAAGTCTCGACACTGACGGCGTATAAATTGCGCCTTCGTTTCTGCAACAACACGCTGTCGACATTTGTTTACATCCTGCCGCACAAATGGGGAGGAGGTATCGTCAATCCGGGAGAGAGGATACGATCCGCAATATGCGTGAGCAGAGTATTTCCCTTATCGCGTTACTATATATATTACATGTCACGCTATCATAACGTATCTCGCGGAAAACTCGGGGCGTATATTCTTCCTCGACAAGCATTTCCGACAGGTCGCAGACACATTTTAATTTTATTTACGTCAAATATGGAAGAAAATAGCGTATAATAAAGACGAGTAAACTTATTTCGGACATACATACTGACGGAATATTCTCTCCCTCCCTCTCTCTCTCTCTCTCATCTCCTTTCTACTATCTTTCCTCTAGCTTTCAAGACTTTTGCACAGAAAGATGCTGTAGACTTTGAAATTGGAAGAGGAAGACCTACCCTGTAGAAAGGAATAATTTATTCGCACAGATCTTTTTTTTTTAGTGCACACTCATCGCGCGTTCCAATTAAACGAGCGGAATATCTCGGGGCGCCTAAGGGGGTGTACAAACTTATTCATTCATTCCGTAAGATCGCGTCGAAAGACTAGACCTTCCTCGACACGAGAGTTTATTTTTATTCGTCGATTCCTATTGAAAGGAAGAACGGTAGGCCAGTTCGCGTAGTAAGTAAATGAATTCGGATCATTTACTCGCCTCGACGGAACTGTCGCTCGTCCTTTACCAATCAAGAGATTTTAAAATATCTCTCTCCCCCCTTCTTCGTTTCATTATTCGAATCGAAGGTAATTGCATTTCGCAACCGGACGGGAGAAACAAATCTGAATATAAAAGTAAGCAAGTCGGATGCCAATATTCTCTTGCTCTCTCTCTCTCTTTCTGAAAAACTTTCCGCGTTGCAATCTGTCCTTCGCGTCGTTTCTTTTCTCCTCTTCTGGCGAAGTTACTTGTCTGATTATTCGAAGTGACTCGTTGTAACAAAGTTTCGCTGAAGATGTGGAAACAAGTATCTTGTAACAAAGGTTCGATAGATCACGTCTTCTCTTGTGTAAAATTATCACATGCGGAGAAGAAGAGACGGATATTAATCTTTAAAGTAAAGAGACATATTTATCACATGGGTATATTAATTCTGTATGTGTAAGAGAGAACTTGATGGTGATATTTTATCACAGCGATGTAATATGATTTTTAACAATCTCGTTTATTTTCTTGATGAACACGCAAATGGAAGATAAAATACAATCCGCGAGTGTATAAGAGGGAAAGATTGTATTAAAATATCGATGAGATGTCGTATTATTTTCAAATTATTCGGAACTTATTTAGGATTTTAAATTCAGAGGATTCCGGAGAATCGTGCCTCAACGGCATAAATAAATAAACGGAGAAATCGCGTTGCCTCTCACAGAAGAGCAATCGTCTTCGTTCTCTCGAAATACGTCCTTCGATTCTCATAACGCGATTGAAGGGTGTACTCGATCGTAGGAATAAAACGAGACGAGAAGGGAGGGGAGAGATAAGACGACGAGAAGGACGAGTCAGTTTTCCTCCTTTCCTCTTTTCATCTTTTTCGAACGAGGATCCCTTTCAAGTTGCATAAGATATCCGCTTTCCTCCAATACACGACGGGATATAATGCAGAAATAATTTGACCTTGTCGATGAATCTATGCATAATCGATCTATCCGGATCGATCTCTTCAAAGTCAGATTGTGTGGTGATGTACGTTATATAGAGGGAACGCGAGAGAGAAAAATCTATATTTTCTCGTAACTTTTAAATTTTCCACATCGAACATGCTCATTGGATTTTCAGGAACCGAACTTTGAAACTTCGAAAGAAGATCTTACACTTTAATGGAATTATAAGTTATTATAGTTTTCAAACTTGGATCTCTCGAAAACTAAGCTGCGCGAGTTCAAATTCCATCCAAATAATTTAATTGAGATCAATGTAAAGAAATAGGGATCATCGTTCTCTTTCAATGGTTCAAATTTATCGCGGACAGAGAGGAGAGAATTTAAAGGGATAAACATAATCTCCGCCTACAAGGAACAGACTTTACGCCATAATTCGGGGACACCCTGTAGAGGCGCTTTGCGAAATGTATCTTGCGATATAGCTCGTGCGCAGGTTGAATTCTATCTACGGTGGGATTACAGGGATACATGATGTGACCCTCTCCCTCCTTGTCGATCTCCCCCTTCCTTTTTTACCCTCCTCCTCCACAAGTCCTCGGCATTGAGATCCTGTATTCGGAAGCTGTATCAGAGATCGGTTAGAACGCGCTCCCCCTGTTTGAGAGCTTTCATTTCAAGCTCCGTTCGATCGACGGTTTCAAGGACGGATCGTTGAAAAAATTGCCAATATTTGCGGCTACAATACGAACGAGCTTCGTATCGCTCTCGCCTCCGTTTTCTTCCCCCGCATTTTTTTTTTTCACGTCAAGCTTCCATCCCGATCCCTGGCCCCAGACAGGGGTGCATAATAGTAACGACTACCTACAAGGGATGGTGTGTCGTACAAATCTTTCCTTTCAATCGAGATCACACGCCGATAGATTTTTATTCTCATAACAAAATATAAATATAAATGCGTTATAGTTTTTTCAATAGAATCAGTGTATCATCATTGATAAGCAGTGGTTTCAGTTATAACCATAGCATTGCAAACAGACATCTCACTGATTGTGAGAAGAATCAATTAGTGGTGGCGGCTGATTTTTCAGTAATCAATGAAACTTAAGACGAAGGAGCAAAATGTGAGTGTTTTCATTGAAAATCAATCCCTTAAACTGAATCAATAAAAATGTCGTTGCTTTAATCAGATTCGGTTTAAGAGAGTACTTTCTTTCCGTTTTTATTTTTATTAAAATTTTTATATTGCAAGAGAAACAGCTCTATAGTTTCATCGTTCACTACTGAATCTCTAGTCCGGTGCAACTCGTGGGTTATTGCGCCGATAAAACGTCACTCCAACGATGAACGTCCGTCATTTCGATGATCGAGCACTCGACGGTCGGGCAGAAGAGCCTTTCGCAATGACGTATCGGGGAAACGAATGGAATATCGCGAGTATTCGGCAAATTCATTTTTCATAAATTCGAGATTCTTCATCAATTACACGAACATTCTTTAATTCCGTCGAGTTGATGATACTTGATAAATTGACCCTTCGTATCTTGCAATTATTACACAGCGATAAAATTCAATATTTTTAAATGTTTCGTATCTATACTGTAAAAAAATTCGAAATTTTTCATTTGTTTCCCCGCTTTTATTATTTTTTTTTTTTGTCATCGCGGGAATATTTCCTTTTCTTGTCTCTATTTTGAAACATATCGAGATCTGAATTTACAACAACATGTACAAATAGAAAAAAGAAGAAAGAAAACAAATAGATAGCATGCGAAATAACGTCGCGGTAAGGTTCGCGATAAAAATTGCAGGGCGGTCACAGGAACGAAAGAATTTTAAAAGTCACGGGCGAGAGAACGGAATAAATCTGTTTGAAATGTATTTAAAGTCAAAGGGCGGAAAACGCAAGTTGAGGGAGACAGGTTGATACGTCGTCGCGGGAATATTCCAGAAGAGATTCAACTATATCATTCTCTCGCGGTTGACGTGTACTTGAATACGTAACGAGTCTAAACGCGACGTTTGTACTTCGCGATTCGTTGATCTTACCTGAAGATGCACGACAAAACATGATTCTGTCCATAAATAACGCAAATAATTTTTTGAGCAAATTGAAACAAATTATTTAACTAATTGCAAATTCAAAGGACACGCAGCCGAGCTCGATTCTTATAAGATATTACAAAATATATACACAGTGAGATATTTAATTATTAAATTATTCGATATATAATTTTATCGTTTTATTTTTCAAATTAATTTTTAACTTTTAATTTTTTACTTTATAATTAATTTTTTTAATTTTAGAAATATTAGATCAGTACATTAGTTTCAGTATGTTAAGTATATACTTAGTAATTAAATATGTTTTTAGTAATTTAATATATTATATAGAAACTATATTAAATTAAGCAAAATTATAATTTTCTCTTCACGATATTTAATATTATAAAGAATAAAAAAATCAAATCTCAAAATCTTAGAATTCTAAAAAGAAACATCGATGTAAAGTTAAAATCAGAATTCGATTCTTATATTATTTTTGCACGCGTACAACTCGTGGTGATTGTTCGATTAGTCTGATTCAAGAATTACCAGTTTTTAAAGTATCTAAAGTATTTCAATTAACGAAAGACCAGTTAAAAACTAAACGAAAACTAAAGAGTCCGAGCATGTCTGGATTAATCCCGACAATTCCGGGATACGTTCTGTATCGAGCAAATCTGCACGTGTCCCCTTTGAAAAAACGATGCACCCCGACGTATGCTTCGCGTCACGCTCGCCGTTACTTTTCATTATGCACAATGTGCATAGAGAAAGAGACGTGGACATTTTATTTATCGCAGGGACACGCGCGCGCCCGGGTCTCTACTCATTCACCGACGTCCCTTTCTCGCTCTGTCCCTTTCTCCTCCGCTGCTCCCGGGCCATCCCGCCCTTTTATCCTCTCGCAGCCTCCCAGCCGGTCCACCGGACGAGACAATACGCGCGCGACACACACAACGACGGAAAGAACAACTCTGTGCCTCTCTCTCTCTTTACGTTTTTATTCCTCGTGTACCTTTTTTCCAAGGACCGTCTGCTGCGGGAGGGTACGCGATATCTCGCCGGGGGGATCTCATTGTCTCTCTCGACGTACATTATATCTATATAAAGTCAAGGCGTTGGCGTGCGTAATGACCCGTGTATCATTATCGATAAATAATCCAACCGCGGACACATACGACCGCGATGATCGATATTAATCATCGTGATGATCAATATTAATCATTGTCGTCTCTTCGGTAAATTCCACGATATTTTATATTATTCAAGTCTACTCGGAATATCGAATTCGATACATCGACATCGAGCATCTATTTATACCACGAACATTCGAGATCGAATTTTCATACTCGCGTCAAAGTTTCGCGATGTACATGCGCCTGCAGAATGAATCTGTGTATACCGCGAACATTTTTACGGCGCGATGTCTTTCCGTGTCATCGATTCGCAGTCCTGAACGCAGTTTATGCCGAATGTTGCACTTAACATGGAGATATTCCTCCGGTATACAATGAGAGTACATCGTACTATTTTATTACGGTAATACGAGAAATTGGCACATCGCCAGCTTGTTTATTGCGTTCTCTATTTCTCTCTCTCTTTCCTTGCCCCTTGCTTCTTTCATCTCTACGTTTATTCACGGTGGAAACTATTCCCAGTGCTCTCGGAGCTCTGTGGCTTTTTTTCTCTCGAAAACCGAGTCCTCTCGACAGCACTTATTAGTGTTTTTATATATCGCGTCATAAAAATTATGCGTTTATAAATATTTTCTATTATAAAGTAAACGGTTTTCATTAAAGATATTAATATTAAAGTCTATATTTTTCTATATATGTATACAGGATATTTTGAAACTATCGAATATCCTTTTAATAGTTGATTCTCTGGTTAATTTGAAAACGATTTTTCCTAAGCGAGAATGTCGAGGTATCAATAATTTTTGAGTTAGAAACTCAAGATTGAAAGGAAAGAGAAAGGATGATGATTGGAAATTAAACTTTGTGGAGTTAAAAGGCTAACGAAACTATATTCTTAAGTTAATTTCAGGTGGAGTTTACTTTGATAGAATTTTAAGTTTACAATTAGTTACGAACACAATGGAAGAGAATGGAAGAGAATGGAAGAAATTAGAAATCTGTAAAAATTAATGATCTCCCTTACATTTCGCTAAGAAAATATCGATTCCAAATTGGTTAGAGAATCTGCTATTAAAAATACATCGGATAGTTTTGGTTTAATACAAATTATAAATTAAATAAGTTATATTTATGAAAGAAATTTTATATATGTATAAGGCATATTAGAAATATTAAGGGACATCAAAGTGAAAAAAACTCGATAGTTGTTGAATATTTTTAATCAATTCACCTCTCGTCTGGAATTACTGGTAGTCGGTGTGCGTCTCCCCCTGGCGTAGCCGGCATCCATGGACCTGGTGTTCAAGGAAGCCTGCTCCTTCGGGTCGATGACCGGCGGGACACGATGAGGCGGCACCCTCGGCCTGTATTCTATGGTCCGGTTGTGACTCTTGGACTTGGGCGGTGTCATCATGGCACCTTGGCCGATGTCCGAACAGCTCTCCTCGTCGGCTTCTTCGACGGGCGAGGGTGGTAACGGCGGAAACTCCATCACTTCGACACTCACCTGCCGAGATAATAACGCGGTTGAAATTTCTTTTTTGACATGGGAATGGACCGATTTATTCAAATGACTCGAGCTGAGAATTCAGCATCTAAGCATCCTTGATTTCTGATGAGTTTCGCGATCTTTAGCCGTCAACTTCGCGATAAAGAATTTGAAAGATTAATTATTCGAAACGATATAATCAAATGGCTAATATATCACGCATCGTAAGCGATAGATGAAATATAATATCACTACGATAAATAATATCGCGCATTGATGTTGTCAACGAACCCTCCGATGTGTGATGGATATTTTCAGAGATTGACACGAAAAGCTTCGAGCTAAAGAGCCTGCAAATGCAAATTTCCAATTGAAACTAGCTTGACCCAGAACCAGTTAATCGATGAAGGACTCTCGTGATAATGCGTATGAATAGCCATTCAGCTGGATGATTGTTCAACGAGTTCGTTGAATATTTTCATCAACTCGTGCATTGGATCAACGAGGATAATTCACAGCTAAACGATTCATGGCAAGCGCATGCTTACTCTCGAGGGATATTTTTAGCGGATCAAAGATTATCTGTCATTCTTTACATTTTTAATCGAAATGGGAATACCTCGGGGAATCGCGATTCATCTACTTGCGCTCGAAATTATCAATTACAGCCGTTACATAAGTAATTAGTTTAAATTTTTCAGAATTGAACAAGCTAAGCAAGATTACGCCACTAAACATATTGTGTACAATATAAATTCTCTGAAAATTTACATTTTTGACATTTTTTTATGCGATAAAAAATGAATCTTTTACCGAAGCCAATTATATGCGAGAATCAGTAAAAACGGATTCGCGTGCGAGAAAAGGAAGGATCCGATCTCTTAGTTACTTCTGCGTTTCATGACGAGAAATATGGTATCGTTGCGCGGCATCGATAATAGAATCCTATATTACAGAGCTACGCTCAATTTATATGTATATGGGGCGCTCCGGTCTCAGCTGCTCGACGCCTCTGCTATCGCGGCGTATGCCGTATATATTTCCTGCCTTGCATTTTTCATGTAGATCCAGCTTAATAGCCCCTCGTCGGAAGGGTGGAGTCTTTATTTCCGTTTCGTCTGTCTCTCTTCGCGTTTTGATCGAAATATTCTAATATTCTAATACGCAGTGACGCGAAACCAGCAGAATTCTCTTCTGACCTAACGCGAGCCATCTACGTACCTGGAACTCCGGATTCTTCGAGTCCTCCAGGATGGCGTCGATCACGTTCTCGATCTGCTTCTGATCGTTCTTGTGGCTCTCGATGCCATTCTGGCGCAGCCGTCTGCCGGACGAATAAACTACATCGGCAACGCCGTTCAATTTTTTCCGGTCGGCAAAGTCCGCGTCCGAGCTAGCCTTGGACGTCTCCGAGTCGGAACTGTACTGCTGTTGCTGCTGCTGCTTGCTGCGGGACCTGCCGTCGAAAGGACTGCCGTCGACCGTTACGGGTTTCCGGCCGTCGTGCGTTATCGGCAGCTCATTCTCGAAGCTGTTGCGCTTCGAGCTGTTCTGCCTCAGATCGCCGTTTCGCCAGCGCTTGCTCTCGCTATACGACTCGCTGTTCTTCACGTTCTCGATCTCCTTGATCGCATCGCTCACCTTTTCCAGCTGCCGACGGTTCTCTTTGAGCGCCTTCTTCACGATCTGATCTTCGATCAACAGATTCACCGGAATCTTGGAGACCAATCGCTCTTCGCTTACCGCAGCCCCGAGTTTCTTCTTCGTCGTCTGCGATTCGCCAGGGTTCGCCGACGAGTTGCCGGTGTCCAGGTTAGGTGCCGTCGGTACGACGTTGCAATCTCTCGATCTATCCAGACGCGATACATCTATTCGATCTTCGTCGAGCGGCGATGGCGGTAGTCGCGGTAGCTCGATGTTGTCACGCTCCTTATCCTTGTCGGAGATATCGGACGTTTCTTCCTCCTCCACGGTAATTTCCAGTTGGGCTCGATTGTTGGGATCGTTGTTGATCGCCGGCATCGACACGACCCGGATGAGATCCGGCGGTGGCACCGATGCCGCAAATTCCGGCGGCGGTTCGTCTAGGCCCTCGAGCTTGCCCTCCTTCAGCAGGCTCTTGATGTTGTCGAAAGTGCTCGAGTATCGCTTCACGTCCGACAGTCGGCTTTCCTCACCGTTCTCGAAGGACAGACTCTTGGTCTTGGTCGGTGTTTTCGGTAGAACCTTGCGCTCCTTCTTGCGGCCGCGTCTTATGACATATGTGCCGTTCTTCGTGAGTTCCTGCGGTCGTATCTGATCAAGATCGTTCGTGGACGAATCCGAGTACGGCGAAATCAGATCATCGTCGGTCGTCGATAGCCGTGGATCCTGCCAATCGTCGAAGTCGCGCAGCTTCGACGCAGAACCTACGCCTGCAATAAGTTCAATTTTAGTATTTATATTCTATCGTTATTTATGTTTCTCGCAATAGATTTAATTGTTTAATTGTAAAAATCTTATTGAATCTAATCTTCACAATAAATTTCTTCCAAAAACCAAAAGTTCTAACAATATATTTAATTTTGAATAGAATATTGTTTTTTCTCGAGGTAAAAGAAGCGAGCGAGGGGCACTTACTCGAGACGTCGCTGCTCTTTCGTCGTCTCCTACCGACAACCTTAGTGCTACCGGGCGCGTACAGGGGATCATCCTCCAGGGACACCTCCCACGCGATGGAGTGTCTCTTGCTGATGGGCGGCGGTGGCGGCAGTAGCTCTTCCAGAGAGTCGTCGGAGAAGCGCTCCTCCTCGGACTGCGTCCTGAAATCGGCCGAGTTGCGGGCGGAGAAGTCCGAGTTACGGGTGGAGAACAGGTCGGAGTAGTGCTCCTCGGAACAACGATCGGACGTTGGCGCGGAGAAACGTTCGCACGAGTCCGCGCGCGAGTAGGAGACGAAGTCGAGATTCCGTATGGAAAACGGGTCGGAGGTTGGCACGGACACGTGATCGTTGGAGCTCGCGCTCGCCACCGCTATCGAGAAGTCCGAGTGGAAGCGCTCGTTGGACGTGGAGTTGGCGCGCGAGAAGTCGGACGAGTCGCAGTTGGCGCGCATCGAGAAACGTTCGACGCTGACCGAGCTCGAGCGCGGTATCGACGACCGGCTCTCGGACTCGGAATTCCTCGAGAACCGGCCCTCGCTCGAGTCCGAGTCGTTGCGACTCCGGCGCTGCGCCGCCGACGACGACGCGTCCTTCGCGTCCGAGCCCCTGTTCATCAGCAAACGGTCCTCCACGCTGCTCGACTTCATGATCTCGTGATTCTGCTGACGTTGCTGCGACGAGTACTTTCTCAGCGGATGGGACGTCGCGCGATCTCCCCTCTCGGGACTGTCCCTCTCGTGCTGCTGACGGTTGCCCACGGACGTATCGTCCAGACATTCCTCCGAGGAGCGGCGGCGCACCTCGCGGTGCTTCTCCACTGCGCTTGGATTTGTCCTCGGTGGGATCCAGTTGAAGGACACTTTGCCGTCGTATGGCAAACTGGCGAACTTACTGGGCGGACTAGGCAGTTGGGTCAGTCGCAGCGACTCCACGGTCCCGTTCTCCCAGCCGTAGGGCCGCTGATGACGGGTCTTGGGCTGTCAGAATTCATTGGGAATTTAGAATTTTAGAAGATAGAACGTCCCGAAAACGGCTCCAATTCTTTTGATCTTTCGTCAAGAAACGATTCGATCGATCTTTCCTCGCGTTTCCTTGGAGCGTTTAATATTAAATATTTCCATAATTAACTTTCAATTAAAATTCTGTTAAAAAAAGTACGTTGAAAAATTTGAGCGAAGAATAAGGATTTATTATTTATTCGAAAAAGATGGTCATTTACCATCTGCATAATTGCTGAGAAAAGCGGTTACAGACTTTCTTTATCAATCTTTAACAAAGGAATTCATTGAAATAACAATGAGAGAGATTTCGTTATTTCAAAGATATATAAATCTCTCTCTTATATCTTTACAATCGACGCTTTGATATTTTATCGCAACAATTTCAACTTGCTCCAAAGAAACGCGGAAAATCCCACTGTATATCACGATTTGCTCGTTGGAAGTTCACCGAGATTTCTCTCATCGCTCATTCTGTCCCGAAAATACATCTCGCGACGGAATCACGCGAGAGAATTCTCCATCGTTCGTAGAGATCGGCCAAAATCGGGCGCGATGCAGTGCGGGAGTTTCGATTTTACGCAGTCGGCATCGTAAATCGGCATCGTTACGACGATGCTCCGACGAGAAAGTCGCCAGATTACGAGCGTCCGGGCGCCGATCCGCGGAATACGTACGCATTTCGAGCCGCATCGCCGTAAATAAACCAAGTTATCGGCGACGATTAAAGAGAAAGGGTGAAAGAGAAAGAAAGATGGTACTCACGAGGGTAGTTTGCGTGGTAACGGCGTTTCCATGCCGCATGCCATCCTCCACCATCCACTGTTGCCGGCCGTTATTTCGCCGCTCCGGGCCCACGACGTTTCTCTTGGACGAGTTTCCCGGGGAAACCCTGGCCGACAAACGAGACGAAAATGGACTAAAGATGCAGTATTGTATCGAATCTCTAGCTATGCGCGCGATTCTCGTAAAACTATCCGTACGTAATTTAAATTAAATATAATATAATTTTATTAAAACGAACACGGCGTTATTTAGAGTCAGACGATCCCTCGATATGTGTATCTAATATCGAGTACCGGGGGATGAGAATCGCCGGAAATCCGCGGCGAAGATTATCGATGTGTTGTTTCCTCGATGCCTGCGACTTTAACGAACCCACTTGTTTTATGGTAACTAAAGAAGCCCTCTCTCAATGACAAGACTTTGCGGAGTTTGCGATGTTTTCGTATTGATACGGGAATGCCAAACGTTTGCAAAACTTGCATGACAATACATCATCAGGAAGAGTGTGTGGCTGCGCGAAGAGGGTAAAGTTTTTTTATTCTATTAAGCTTCTTCTTTCGGCATATTTCCAAAGTTACCAAGTTGTCGAAGGCGAACGCATAAATTCAGACAATCTTCGCGGTCAATAACGGAGTCGATGGAAAGAATAACGGAATAAATTTAATCAAGATTTGTCTTTACTCGGCTAATCAATCAATCTTTTTGCATCTTTTTTTCAGCGAGAATCAAGATTATCGTCAAATTCTGACATTCGTTGGATAACATAAATGCATAAAAAATAGGACTGAAAGATTATGCGATTTTTTAAATAGATTATGTATAGATAAACTAGCTTTCGCGATTTAAATTAAGAAAAATGAATTAATAAATTTGCAGAACTTAATAAAATGATTTTGTGTACAAGAATAAAAATATAAAATATTTAAAAAAGAATAGCGTTGTGTTTCTTGTTAAAAAAAAAAAAAATTCAATTTATAAAAAATATTAAATATAAAATTCTTTCGTACAAAAATATTTTAATTAATATTATAGATAGATATCGATCTGAACTCAAATTATGTAAGATTTTAATATATAATCGAACAGACTAAAATATTAAACTTATTCATTTAATATTTATCTTAATTCATTATATCGCAGTCGAGGTAAAATTCAAGCAAATCGGCTTGTAAGGTAGATCAAAATACATTTTTAACACATGATTTGACGCGATATGGATGAAGGGGCGAGCCGAGCGATTTATGCGGGAAGCGTCTCAATCGTAGGTTGCCAACCGTACAACAAGACAAGAAAAGAGCAAACGACGACGATGCTGAAGAGCGAATCAGATCGATTGACGCTCGACTTCCGTTTGGTCGGCTCGTTTCCAGTCGATAAACGTCGCGTCGCCTTCCTGGCAAAGGCGCCGAGGAAAATGATGCCCCACGTGGAAACGCGATCCCCGCCGTGTTATTTAACGTATGCAGTCAATCGTGCGCAACATGATACTCGCGATTCGATTGCACCCTCTTGCGAAACACGTCATTCTCAAGCTAAACTATTCCCGAAGAATTTTCATTAAATTTATCAAAGGCGTATAAATCTGATGGAGGAGTGTGTTTCTCCCGTTGCGATAATTAACATAAATCTTCACTAATTTACAAACAGCGGCGATACGATGGCGATTGCGCGATAAGTGGAACAATAATTTATTTATAAAAAAAAAGAAGAGTAATAATATCGTGAGAGAAAATATTTGCTGTGGAAAATTCGAGTATTTTCCGTCGCGGATACAAAAAGAAAAAAAAAAATGAAAAGAACGGAAGCCTCCTTCGTGCAAAATAAGTTTACCGTTGAGACTTTACTTTATAGAGGACTTACTTACTGCAAGAAAGAAGTCGTGCTGATTTTCTTGCGTTGACGACGAGGACGAGGAAGAGAGAGAAACGTTTTCTTTTGTCGGAATGACGAGCGTTCTCTACGGAGAGGAGAGTCTGCATTTCGAGAGGACGGCGAAGCTCGAATGCACTTCTCGCAGACGTTCCTCTCCCGCGATAGAACGGGTAATAGGCATGAAACGCGGTGATTAGGATCGACAGGTACAACGAGGACGCCGTCGCCGTCTACGGCTTAAGGACCCTGCGCGTCTAACAAGAACAACTCGTGGCTTCGAAAGTCAACCGTAGATCGGAGAAACTGCGAATATTCTACAGGCAATATTCTGCGTTACAATCTCTACATGAATCAAGAATTCGACAAAGGCTGATAATGTAGCTTATATCGAACTTCTTTGTGCACCAATCCTATTTTTAGAAATTCTTGAGAATCCCTGAGATTTTCTAAATTTTTCCAAAGAATAAATGTTTTGCATTAAATTAATTAATATATTGTAATGAATAGACTAAAGTTTAAATATAATAATAGAAGTCGAGAGCAAGAACATTCTTTTCAGTCGACTCCGCTTTAAGGAGCAATCGTCAGCGATTGCCAGCGAGTGCAGGTGTGTTTTATCGATGCAGCCCGGTGGAAAACGATGAGAAACCGGCTGCGCTTGCTCATTTACGGCAAGGCAAGTGGCTGGAAAATTTTCGCAACGCTCAGAAGTGGGTCTTCTAGGTACGCGATCGAGAAGTCCGCGTCGATGAAATCGACGCGGTAGTTTTCCGGAGGAACGAGTGCCTGCAAAAGGGAAAACCGCGTGAAGTGCAACGAGCTTCGTCGTCGTCGCTTCCGGTGCACTTTGTGCCGCCGAGAAGAATGCAATCGCGAGTTATGCGAAAGTGGTGCGAATGTATGGGGGAGGAAATGTAAAAGGAAACGGAATTTAACTTCGGTCATCGAACGATTGCGAGAGGAGGAACAATCTTGTTTGAAATAATGCGCCGAACAAAGTTGGGACGAAGGGACGACGATGATTGTACTCGGAATGGCGTTTGTTCCTGATGAAACGAAGTTACGTCCGGAACTAAAATCGAAGGTAAAAGTTTGAGAGGTTGAACGCGCGATGGAAAAGGCGGAACTCGCCTTTTCGTTACGGAAACGGAAGTCCGTTTTTTCTCGTCCTTGAAACGCGTGAAGGGGACTCGCAGGTCCGAAGAGAACACCGAAAGAAATTTAAATGAACGCGGATCCTCCTTCCTTCGAGAAGAAAACTCCATGAATTATCGCTGCTCGTTACGTGAGCGAAATTATCTATAGCTTCTCGATAAAGAGCGATCCTTATTCCGGGTGCGATTTCGCTCATCTAAGAGTATCTCAAATTTGTAAACGCAATTTATAAATTTTTATTTTACTTTAGAACGTCGCGTTGACATGCAATTTTAATGACAGATCCCGAGTCGAAATTTTCCTCCTATGTTCAATCTCAATTTTCTCACGTTTATAGATTCTCGAAACTTTCGATAGATTTAATTTATATAGGAAATGAGATCCTACTTTGTATCTCAAATAACAAACCAATACTTTCTTACTTACAACTGGAGGTTCAAAAAAGAAGCTTTCGGTAAAATTATAAATTAAACAGTTTCACACAAAAGAAGGCCGTTAATTAAATTGTGCTTAAAATATCAAAGTAGATGTTTGATTGAAAATTGAGATCGAAGTAGGAGAAAAATATCGACTCGAGATTTTCATTAAATGTCTTGGAAATTACATTCCGGATAAAGTTTTCAAGAAAATAAAATTGAACGACTTGAACCTAATTAAACTGTAAGATCTTTTTATTCATTATTATCTGAGACTGTCTGCGCATTCAGTAGTCTACTTTAACCGTCGCAGACGAATTCGGTAACGTGAATCGAGAATCAAATGAAATTCTATGGCAAGAATCTTGTGTACGTCTATTGACAGACGAGATACACCAGGTCAAGTGTATGAAAACGTGCGACTCCGATGGCGAAACCGATCCATCGACACTCGACTTTCGACTGATTTGTTTCCAGCCGATAAACGACGAAACGGAGGTCTCTCGTCGGCCTTTTGAATGAAGAAATATGTTCCTCGAGGCGATACTTTTATTGAGGAAACCGCTATATATTTCAATTAAATATCGTCATTTTAAATTTATTTTAACATTAAATTTTTATATTAAGTTTTCTGAGAAATAAATAAATTTAAATAACCAATTAAAATAAATAAAAAAAAGTTTAAAGTTTAAGTAAACAATTAAAAGATTTTAGGTGGATTATCTATGGTTTTTAACGATTTAATTTATATAATAGCCACAAAATTGTGACATAATAATGCATTTTGAAAATTCTATTTAGCGTAAAAGAAAAAACTACGGAGAAATGTAAAATCGCTCTCTTTCTTAAGCTTGAAAGAGTTATTTTTCTTTGAAAACTGTCCAAATTCCGGTGCTTTGTGAAAGGTACTTACATTGGCAGGAGAGTCGAGATGATACGTTCGGCCTCTTCCGGGGGTGGCGGAAATTCCTGTGTCGAGGAGACGCCCGCGAAATCCTGTGGCTCCGGACAGTCCGGGACCGGGCGTAATGCTACCAATGCCATCTTCGCCTTTCGACCGTTCATGCTCATGTAACCGTCGTCCTCGGATTGGTGTCCTGCCGGCCAAAGTTTCACGATTACGATGAGTTTCTTGGAAGGAGCCGATCCGAGACGTCGGAACGACTTAATCCACCGAACGTCCACAGCTTATCCTAAACGTCGACGACTATTTCTATTACGACTCTTTTCAAACAGTTCCCGAAGGGAGGAGGAATTGCATTACCTTCGTTCGACGCTTTGCGATCCTGGAAATACTTGTACATGCTGCGTAAACGTTACCGCGCGATAAAGTATCACGCACGTGTATGGGGTGATATTTCAAAAACTTTTTTAAAAGCGCTTCGAAAATTGATCGCTTTAACGTTTTGCATCGAGTCGCAATATCCCAGATTTGTGCGATATTTTTATTCTTCCGAAAGAATCGGTCGCGTTGATGACAAATAAAATTCCATCAAAAAAATTCTGTTTTTCCATTTTATCGCGATAAAGCGCGCGAGGATGCGAATTTTTCCTGAAGAATCTCTCGTTAATCAACCGCGATCGCTCGCAAGGGTGTACAGCAGAGATGCCAATAGAATGTCGATTTACATTTTCGGTGAACCGTATATGAGACAGGCCTGCTGGTTTCTTCTCTCCATCCCGGAAAATGTTACGTGCTTTCACGCCGATTTTCCGCGAATTGAATGGCAGACCGCCAACTCGGCGGGTTTATGTTATACGTCCGCAGGAGCGTTTCTCGATGGTAATAAAGAGAAAATATGCACCCTTCGAAAGCCGAGAGAGAACGACGGCTGAATCGAAGATTCGAACGAACCACTGTCCGATAACTGTGCGCGTCCGACGATAATCTTTCTCTCGTTGCTCGCGAAATGCGTTTTATATTACACCTCACAACTATTTATATACTTATTTTGCCTTGCGTTTAAAAGCGTCGCTCGATTTTCACAATCTCGGAATTATTTTCAAAATCCCACGGATAAATGCTGATTCAACGATTTATTTTAATCATTTGTATATATAGAAAATGCAAATATAATTCTTAACCGTATTATATAAAAGATTATAAATAATCCAAGCGGATATGCGTGAATTTCATAATCAGATTAATTTCTTTTTTTTTTCTGTACATTGCTCTAACATAGGATCGAGCCTTAGAAACGAGTCCACCGTGCAAGTTTGTTCCCGGTTCAACATGCACGGGGAAGAGCAAGAAAGTTAAATATCTTAGTTAAGGGTGACGAGTTAAATCGCACAAAACACATACACACACAAACGACCCGTTCGCGTTGTCGCTTTTCGAACGACTTTCCGCGACAACTCGCGCACCGGCATAGAACTTTGTGTGCTTCAAATGCGAGCCAGATATCTTTAGAGAGGCGGAAATAGCGTGCAAAGTTTTAGAAAGAGGCGTGCTCGGTTGTCACTGGAAATTTACTATCTTCGCCCTGTCGATATAAAGCAGCGGGTGTCGCTTCTTCCGCAAGTTCGGAGCGGATGCTTCCTCTTTCGCGGTGAAAATTTGTCGCGAAACCATCATGTGTCGCGATTCCCATCGCTAGCTATTTCAATGTAAAAACGATGCATTCTCAGTATAACGGAGGGCATATTTATTTTACATCAAGATTTAATATTTTATTCGTGATAATGGAACGTTACGATTTGACGGCGCGATGCATTGTTCTCTATTATTATCATGAATCGATAACAAGCAATGTTTATCGTTATTCTACATTAATATGCTTAATTATTAATTACCAAGATATATAATAATTCGCAAATAAATAAATGAGTTATCACAACATCGATAATATGCGAGTGGATTGACGTAAAAGCTTGCAATTTTCACAAAAATCATGAAATCGGTAAAGTCTGAGCATGAAATGCACTATGCATCAAACATTTTTTGACTAGTTCATTCGCAGCATTCTTCACACACTATTCACGCGTTTAGTGATGAGTACATATGTATATATCCGACACGAATAAAAAAATTGACGGATTCTGTCAGCGGTCTGACAGTTCGCCGGGCACGTGTTACTCCACTACTCGAGGTGATATCGATTTTTGCGGCGATCAGACATCATCGGACAATTCCGCTGCGAAAATGTTCGCTCGACGTCGTGCAAAATCACGTGGAAAGAATGAATTTGAAAATTTATGCGATACTTTTCAATAGCTCTCGCGAACGAATGAGCGCCGTAAAGTCAGAGTACCGAGTGTGAGAAATTGCGTAATCACTTCACGTGAAATAAGCGAATCGCAGAGATTGCGTGACGTTAATATAACGTTTAAATTTTTCCACTCTTTATCTTTATAACAAATTCTTGGTATATTTTATATAAGCTAACTTATGTATATATTGCGGATTTAACATTCATTTGTAATCGTATTAGATCGTGAGTTATGTTACTTCGTATAATCTCAATTTTTCCTTGGAGGATACATATCTCGGAATAATGAATATATTAGGATCGCATTAACAACTTACAACCTGCTCTCTATTACAATCGGGATCAGGATTTAGAATCTTACGTATATGATAGTAGCACTATGCGGGTCTCGAGGGACGTGGGATTTTGCGGTCTCTTGGATCGCAGAATTCTGAGATCCTATCAAGTAGGATTGTCTTGTCTTTGGGCGACCGAGAATACGGATAAAGATGCAAATATCTAAGTAACATGGGCGGTAAAAGCTCAACTATCATTCACACAGAAATGTAAAAGATTTCATGCTCAAAGGCTTTTAAATTCCTAGTCCAGTTTAAACAGTATATTACAAAATATAAAAATAAATAAATAATATAAAAAATATAAAATATATGATGTTTATAATTTCTTTAATTGCGTTGACACACACATCGTACACTTTGACAGAAGATAGCTATTTCCTTTGCTTCTACCTCAAGACTTTTTGCGCGAAAGAAAATAAATAATGAAAGATTAGGAAGGGAGAGGAAGGGGGTCTCCGTGCGAATCGTGCCATAGTTAATCGCTCTCGGCAAATACGAGAACGACGTCTGTAGAAGGGACCTCGGTCGGTCCCGCGAGGAAATAGAAGCTAGGACGGAACGCGATGAACGGGAAAAAGGACGTTACCTAAGGACGGACTCTCGTCGTCGGGCGTGAGGCCAATACTCGGCTCCGTGCTGCTGCCGCAATCCCCGACGCCACCCACGCCACTTCCGTTCCCGCCGCCACCTCTATCGCCGCTTCCGCCTCCGCTACCGCTGTCTCCGCCACCTTCGCCCTCCGCCTCAACGTGCTCGTCGTACTCGGAGAGCACCTTGTCCAACAGCTCGATCGATCGTTGCACATCGTCACCTCTGGAACAAACAAAACGTTCGATTCTATAGAGATTATCGTTCTTCTATAAACAAAACGCCGGATCACCTCCGAGAAAGAGATTTCATTGCGACGCGTGCGATTCGCTCTTGTAAGACAAGCTGAGGATTGTCAAACGTTCCCGTCTTTCGATTTTTCGATACGGTTTCGTATGGAATAAACAAAATAGTAGGTCTAAAGAAATCTTGCACGCGTGCTCTTTTTTTTAAATTAAATTTAAGAGATTATATTTATACTCGTTTCACCCTTCTCTTATCTTTCAAGTAGATATAAATCATCGGTATCGATAATGAACTTTACACCATCTCCGTATTCCCTTTATCTTATTATGGCTAGTATCTGCACGCGCTCCACTTTCGTGAACGATAACCGATAAACGCTCCGATAATTTTACGCCGTTGGCGCAAACTATTTTCCGGAGCGGTGTTAAAAAGTCAGTGTTTTTAATTTAAAAAAAAAGTAGATCACATCGCAAAATAATATCGCGTTGCTCTAAATTAAAACGGTAAATATGGGACGGTCCAGGATTCTCGCGTCCTCTTCGTGAATTACATTATAAAATGCATTTTCTACCGCACGTGTGTGTTTTTTGCGCGAAAAACATATTTGCATTTTTATAAACTTTAGATTTTGTATACTCTGTTTCTATCTCTCTCTCTCTCTCTCTCTTTTAGAATATGTATATATCTTGCTCACATTTGCCCAGAACAAAGTTTTCTTCGGTCGACGATTTCTGGGTCAGTTTATTGAAGTTGCAGTATCCAGGGTGATACGCTTTGAGATCGACAAGGTTGATGAAGCGACGAGGACGGAACGCGCGGCGACGGTTTAGCAAACTTCGTTACGTTTGTTGGGCGAATCCCACTTTTTTTCCTGGCACGGTGTGTACAGGACGCTCGTCATGAATCCATCGTGGAAAATCGATTATCCGGTACGGCATTAATCGTCCTTACTTGACTCGTCCGCCGATAGGCCCTTTGCCGTCGAACGAGAAAAAAGTTTACTTGCCTGACGGCTATTCCAGGGGAAAAAAATCTCCCCGCAATCGCGCGAGAGAAAAAAAGTAACATTTATCTGCGTTATGAAAGCTTATCTGATACATATATGTATGTGGTATTTATTATGAATTTTTCAAATCAGAAAGAGATGGAAGTCCTGCAAATATTTATAGTTGAATTGCAGAGATTTTTCGCCAAAGGGAGAGAGATCATGATACTTTCCTTGTACACGAAGAAAATATAGTAAAAATTACAATATAATTTTTGTAGAATATACTAACATATAGTTTACAAAAATACATATTTTTCCTCAATTATATTTTATCAAAGAGTATTGTAATTATTCGAATATTTTGATGCACAAACAAATGCATAATTTACATTTTGTATAATGATAAATATCCTGATGTCATTATATTCCACAGTTTCATAATAAATGTTATAAAAGGGAATATATTTCCCATGTAATTTGTATTTTGTAAAATTTTCTCCGTGTTTATATCTTGTATATATATTTAACCGATAAATATGGACATATCTCCATATAATGGCCATCGATCGCTGGAAAGAGCGACGAAGCGTGAAAATTTCAAAGCCTGATAAAGGTGCTCCAGCCATTATCAGTCGCTATTATCACCATATACATAGGTGATGTGACTTATTGCATCGTCGCCTCGAGGAAAATCTTCGTCAAAAGTCGGTCGTCATTATTAGCGCGCATTAATTATCCCTTTCGTTCGCGGCGAACAAGACGACGCGATACCGTCATCGATAACACACGGAGTTCGACTGCATCACGCTGTACCGGGATCATCCCGGTAACCTCGACGCCTCCTACGGGCCGATAACCAAGCATTTAATTAGGCACAGTGCCGTCGGGGGTGAAGGAGGGGGTGATGCGAACGGAGGGTTGGACGAGCGAAGTCGCGAGGCAATCCAAGCGCTGACGCAATGCGGTCGCTCCTGTATCGAGCCGTAATCACGGATTGTTAATTAGTGTGGAAACATGACGGTGGTCTTCGTTACCGGGGCGTAACGCAATGAAGGAGGAGGAGGTAGAGGAAAGAAGAACCAAGTCAATCAGCCGATCCACTACTCGACAATGAAACGCAGCTGGTTTCACCACCGCGACATAAAAGAAATCGCTACGAATGGATTGTGTCTGGGACATAAATGATACCTTCACAAATTACCCTCTAAATTTTGATCGCTCGATATATAAAAGATAATCGTGTAACGCGATTGTTCTCAAATTTGCAAATTTAAATTACACGTTGAAATCGTATTTAAAAAAATCGATTAAAGAAATTTTTTAAATGAATATACATTTTTTTAAATCAGTTTTACATTTAAAAATGAAATGCTTCTTCTTGAACGAACAACAGATTATCTTCCCGCTTAATATAATTTTTATATTAATTCTTTTAAAAAATTAGATTATATACGTCTGCATACATATTATTTATGATAATATTTTTTTCATCTTTTCATTTATTTATTCTGTTTTTTTTTCTTTTTTTTTTCTTTAAATTGCGTGTATCCAGACAGTAATCAAGAGAGGAAGTGCTCGTCGTCGGGTACGGCTGTTAGCTCATTACATTGTCCTTGGGGATGAAACGCACTGATTTTTCGGAACAAAGGGGACGCGGACTTTGTGCGGAGTTAATATCCCGGGGAATATTTCTACCGTATAATAATCGTCGTGGTCGCAAATTAGCAACAGAGACGAATACTATACCGATTGATCTTTACCAGACTGATAATCTTTGGAAGACTGTGTGTATATATTAAACTTCAATAATCCTTTCTATAAGAGAATAGTGATTGTAATTATCGAAAATAAATCACACATAGTAATTAAAAACTATTATCACACATACAATTATATTCACTAACATTTAGAATTTTAAAAAATATTTAAACATTGCAGAGAAAATTTTCCAATCTTCTCAAGTATCTCCAGCATCTTTTAAAGAAAGATGTTATGATACGAGAAAAGTAGCATCGCCAGTGACGTGCCGTAGATCACCAAGTTTTTCAGGCTAAATCACCCGCTTGCTCGGCGATCACGCAGCCAAGCAGAGCGAGGAAAAAATCCACGAGGTATCCAAAAGACACGAAGGAAGACGTCTGACGGATTAGGACGTCTCTTTGACGTTCTACGGATCGTTCGTTCGGACGGCAAAGAGCCTCGGCGCGCCTCCAATGACAAACCGTCCTCGTTTATCTTTCCGAGCCTTCGCCCCGTGACGGAATGCCGGAACGGTTGGCGAAGAATTCCTTCTTGGACAAATAGTAATGGCGTCGACGACGGCGAGCTCGTTAAACGCCCGTTTTTCAGGCTCATCCGCCGGGGTTTCGGACAAACGGCCTCGCGATCAGCAAAGCGGAGTTTAATATGCCGTCCGTACTTTCAAAACTTTTCGCGCACAACAACAAGGAGTTCCATTCCCTTCCTTCCTTTCTTCTGATCCGTCACTTAGTCCGGAGAATGCCTCGTCGAGCCGGATCTCGTCATGCGCGATTACAATTGGCCGCAAAAGCTCGATCGGTTTTTAAAATTCTTTATTCCTCGCGTGACAAGCAACGATACTTTCGATATAAAATATATCGAGAAGGATTATTATATGTTGTTACATATTTTATATATTGAATCAGTCGATTATATAACGCATGCATTAATCTTTCATAGTAGCTGACATCCAGGACAACAACTTCCCGCGTGAGGTATGAAATTTTTTCGGCCACGAGATATCAATATCAATTCTGTGATCGCGCGTCATTAATCAAACAGTCGGTGAAGTATCGAAGCTTTTCAGCGAAGAGTCGAATAGAAATGTTATCACGCCCCATTCCGTTACAGATTATTTCCGAAATATATTTGGCGATCTATGTACTTGATCGAAATGCAATACTTATTCCTCGTGTAAGAAAATATCGTATTTTAAGATTTATACAAGTATATATATTTATATAAAATATATGCGCGAGTATATTTTAAATATGCTTGAAGAAAAAGAAATTTTCAGGGTCATCGCTGCCTACTTTGTTCGCAATTCACGCAAATTTCGCTGCCAAAACGAAAGCCATAAGCTGGCTTATCTTCGTCATGTTGTTTTTCTCTCTGAGTTTTTCTCCAGATGTCTCATAGCATTCACCGTATCGCGCGAATGATTCGAGCACTTGTATAGACGTTTATCGGGCGCATTCTCTCTCTTTCTCTTCAAAGTTGAAATCTTTTCCGAGGATTGGCCGTGTGTGCGCTGTTAAACGGCGCTGTCGAAATATCTTTCGAAAGTACAATATTGCGCGACGGAATCAATACTTTCCTTGAACCCCGCAAGTCGGTAAACATTGTACGTGGGAGACAACGTATACGCGTGTGAGAGCTTGCGCCGGCTTAAGGGAGAGAGGACAGTTTCCGGGACGTGTCGCGAATATGAAAGTCGCGGGAATATCTGCGCGGAGCAAAAAGTTGAAGTATATTTCTCAGATATTACTCCGAAAAATTGTCGCGGTTTATTTTCGAGCCGATAAAAACAGCAGATACGAGAAGAATAACAAGAGAGTTGACACAATCGCTTGATTCTCATCATCGTAGAGCTCTGGAGAAACTCTGGAATCTGCGCATCGATGTGTGTTTAGAGTCTCTCCGTTCCTTTACCGCGAAAAGGTCGAAAGTTTCCGGTGCGCGAAACCGCAGAGAGGTACACCGCTCTTTTCTCGTCGCTCCGCGTGTCGTAGAAAGCCTCATCGACCGACCGGAATCCCGTCTTCTACGAGGCACTGATAAAGACGAGGGCGACCACAGCACGCGCAACGGTGGTAATCTATAGCGGCCAGGTGTATCGATTATCCTGTGACCCGATTCGGACTGGATATCGAGTTCCTGGGTCGGCATATACAATTCCCACCGTTGCACGCATCTATACGCGTGCGCCGCCAGAGATGGACTGTTCCACGTGCAAGGGTGGATCCTGGGG